TTTGAAAGAACGATGTAAATTTTCGGAATGGAAGGCCATGCCTTCTTTTTTTTTGGGGAAGGGGATACTTGATGTTAGAAAAGGTTCCTTTCTGTGAGTGACATTTGGTAGAAGAAGACGCGTTAGCTGTTTTCACACTCTCACTGTCACAAACACATTTATGAATATTTTTTTATTCATCTTTTACCGTTTAATATTCATTAAAAAACAATTCCAATTTCGTCTAGTCGAACTTAGAATTCCACTTTAGTCCAGATGAAGTTAGAATTCCAATTTCGGCTGGACGAATTCCGAATCAGGCTGCATCCCAACTTCGGCCACAACATATATATGAAGAAAAAAAAAAGATTTTGATTATAATATTAATGGGATGATGATGATGATGTGAATTATTCATCAAAAACGAGTGATAGTAAAAATAGTAAAATATATTAAAATAAAAAAAAAATGAATGATGAGAATAGTAACCTTAATAATTAAGATAATAATAGGAATGATTATTCGAAGTTAAAATATTTAAATCATATTTAGTTTGTTTTAAAGTATGTCAAACATCTATTGATATTCATCTATTTTGTTTTGATAAAAATAATCATTTTTCTCTTTTTTACTCTATGCAAAACTAAAATTAAAAAAAAATGTAAGATATTAATCAAAATAATGATTTTTTTCTTTCTATTGATCATCATCATTATTGAATTAGTTCAATAGAAGATCAATAAAGACTGGTACCACATGTATTTTTCAGTACAGACAACATATGTTTTCTCTTTTTCTCTCAGCTGCAAAAAGCAGATGAAAAATTTTGATAAAACAAGTAGAAAACCGTGAAGTATTTTCTATTCAACGAAAATGACATATCTTTGTTTTTGTATTTAAAATAATATTAAGTGTGAATCTTTACATTTATTTGTTAAACAAGAATTTCGAATATTCTATTATTTTCTACATAAAAATCAAGTCTTCAGTACAAATTGAATTTTATTTACTGATATTGACTAAAGATTATTTTTATTTAATCTTTCATTATATTTTTGATTTTTACTAGAGAAAATATTTTAATATAATTGACTTCTGATATTGATTTGTTTAAATGTATTTACTAGATCTTTTAATCGATTAATTTAAATAGAACACAAGCATAAAAATAAAAATAAAATATATACTTAATCATGACAAAAAGTTTTACAATCAGAACTTTAATAAGAGATATAAAATATTAATTTTGCTTGTCAAGACACATTCATATTTAATTTCAGCAATATTCTCGTCATTTAATCAGTCCAAAAATTAAAAAAATCGAATTGATCAAAATTTTTCTTTCTTAAAATACTTTGTATTGAAATGAAAATTTTAAATGTTAGGAATAAATAAACAAAGATGATCTTATATTTGAATAATATAACTAAAATAAAGGGAAAAGTTGAAATTATTGCAAAGAAAACATTAATAAACCTTCCAATCATTTATTGTTTGATTGAGATTACAACATATTATTTGCACTATGCTATACAAAAAAAAAATTAGAAAAATTTTTTTCTGAGAAAAACATACTTATTTCTTTCAAAATTTTCTATTATTCATTTTTTATTTCTTGAAAGTGATTCAATAACTGAAAAGAATAATAAGAATTTATTCGTCGAAACTAAAAGATGATGTCTAAACAGAAAAAAAAAGAAAACGATCTTGCCAATCTTAATCTATATATCATGAATAAGAATTAATAATATAATAAATAGTGTCGTTAACTAATTACTTTAATATATAATCTTGAGGGTGTGGGTGTGGGTGTGGGTGTGGCTGGGTGTGGGTGGGTGTGGGTGTGGGTGTGGGTGTTCATATTCAATGAATCCATACCCACACTCACACCCACACCCACACCCACCCACACCCATTGGTTGTGGTCCACTTATTTGTTCTTCGAGATGTGCATGTTGATTTTGTACATGGAATAATTGATGAGGGTGGGTATCTTCAACATCAAGCCATGATGATGTACGTTGATTGTTTTCAGTTTCTTCGGTCTAAATAAATAATAATTCATCTATTTGCTCTATTTTAATTCTTTTACCTCTTCTTCACCATCATTTTCGTCCACAAAATCGAAATCGACTCGGTGGTGATCCTCACCCAACATAACCCCTTCCCCGTTATACATCAACACGGGTGAGGCATCACCACCTAGAAAATCGTCGATTTCTTCAACAATATTTTCGTCAATCTAAAGCAAAGAAGCAATTATGAATAATTTTAATTAAAACCGCTCCGCGGTGATATCTATCAAGATTTCATTTTACTCACTTTGATTTCTTCGTCCGGAATAAAAATTTTATTTGGTGGCATCTGAAAATAAAAGATATTATTAGTATAATATTATCACACATGTTCAAATTGAAACATGTGAAGTAGAAATAAAATAATGAATGACAATAACCACAGTCATACACAAAGAGACAATCGTAAAGACAAGTATGCATACAGATAAGTTCAATTTTGACCAATGTTGATTACAGCAAAAAAAATTTCGTTAAAAACTAAAACATTGGTACCTGATATGAAAAATTTGATTTTCTAAGAAAGACTATGATTTTATTTTGGTTTCTATATTAAGCTGAGGTAACGACATCTGCGTCGATATTTTATAAAAGCATCAGATTAAAGAAACGAAAGTTCGATTTGATTCGATTGCTATCTCCCATACGAATAATAAATGAATCAAAGAAGAATTTTGGATTATCAAAGAGGCTGTTTTAAGTGCTTAGATAGTAAATATCTACTGAATACGTAATGCTACTGATCCGACAATCATACCATAGCCTCTCCACTACAACCTAATCCTGAAAAAGGGTTTTTTCCCCTTCAGAGTACTTTTTATTGTTGTACATTCTCTGTAATAAGAGAAAAACACCAGATCGACTGAAATTCATCTCCAGTTTGAATTTTCTATTTGACGTCGAGTTTTCCGAGATAGCAGGTCTCCAAAATAGTTTCTATCGAGGTTGAAACTTTGTCAAAAGAATATTTTTGCTACAGATAGATAGAGGGTCATTCAATGTATGTCTATTTATGAAATACCAAAAGTCAAAAAGATGTTGATTGTCACGTCCGAAAAAGCGAAACACATGGGGCAGTCTTAACATACAGATGCACTTCATTAAAATCAATCGAAACGATAGATACTATTTATTATAGTCTCAAAATAACTTTGAGTAAGCAGTAGTTAGTTTATATTATTTTTTTATGATTTAAACAAATTTTACTTACGTGGAATTTTGGCATTAGATGTCCATCGATCAATAATCATGTACCAATTAGAATATTTTCGAATAAAATATTCAGATGAATTTTCGACCATGTTTGTATCTAATTTTGGATATCTTTTCATAATTAACATTTAAAAATCAAATTTGCATAAAAATGGAAGATGCATTTCTAACATTTGTTACCATACATAACCGTTGACCATATCATCAACATCTTGCATAAAGAAAAATAAAACGAATAAGATTAGGCATACAACGTAAAATATAAGCGATTGCACGACTGTCACATACAGCAAAAATTGTTGAATCGAAGGATGTCATTTGTGGTGATATAGGAAGATCATTTTCATTAATAGGTGGCGTTTCAATTAAACACTAAAAGAAAAAGAATTTGATTTTTAATCTTATCTTATACAGAATTTTCGTTTAATATTTTCCTTGCAACTTACTTTACATTATTATTTTGAAATAGAACTTCATGTTTTATTATCGTATATAGATATCTTATTCTATAACAAACACGAAGAATTGGCAAAATTGAATAAACTGACAGTGTATTGTGTGAGACAAACATTAACAAATTAAGTGATGTAGTATTCGAAACAATTGAAATATAATTTGATACATCTATGTAATCATAAGGATATTTAAGTACAACTGAACGAAGATAAGATGACTTGTGTATCAATATAGTTCGAGTTAAATCCCATTTGTTGTTTTCATTCATATTTTTATCATTTGGTTGTTTGATCGTAAATGAAATAAGTCTATTCGAACTTTCAACTTGTTTAATAACATTTTCAAGTTTAGTTGATGGATTAACCGACATGAATATACATGATTGAAGATTAATAAATTGATGTTGATTAAATAGTAAACTGATACTAGATGAACGATCACGAATTGTATCATAAATATATAGTGAGACGACTTGATGAGCATGAAAAATGAGATGAGAAGAAAGAAAATAGATTTCTCGACCAAAATGACTGTTTAGGATGATAACATGAAGTGGAATTGATTGTAGAATACACAAAATTCGTGTATTCAATGAAGTAAGAGCATGTAAATACATATGTAAGCATCCAAATGTTCTGAAAATGGAATTGATGACTGTTCTGTCATCTTCCTAGAAATAAATTATTCAGAATAAATCAAAATATACATAAAAGCTGTTAGCGCAATCCCTTGCGGGATTAAAAATGTGAAACACGATAGACCTACTGTTACTAATTAAACGGACTTCGTTTTCTTCCGTTTCTTTATGATAGATTTCTAGCTTATCGTTTGTTTTAATCTTCCAAAACTACAGTTTCTGTGTAACAGTCTGTGAAGGGTTTAGATATTCTCTGTCACGGTCTGTGATGGTGTCTGGAGGTTCTCTGTCACGGCCTGTAATGGCCTCTGGAGTCTCTTTGTCGCGGTCTGCGATGGGTTTGGAGCTTCTCTGTCACAGTCTGTAATGATTATTAATTTTCTATCACGGTCTGTGACGGTCTCTGAGGGTTCTCTGCCACGGTCTGTAATGGTCTCTGGAGTCCTTCTGTCACGGTATGTGATGGTCTCTGGAGTCCCTCTGTCACGGTCTGAGATGGTCTCTGAAGTCCTTCTGTCACGGTATGTGATGGTCTCTGGAGTCCCTCTGTCACGGTCTGTGATGGTCTCTGAAGTCCTTCTGTCACGGTCTGTGATGATCTCGGGGGGAGAGGGTTCTCTGTCACGGTCTGTGATGGTCTCTGGAGTCCCTCTGTCACGGTCTGTGATGGTCTCTGGAGCCCCTCTGTCACAGTCTGTGATGGTCTCTGGAGTCCCTCTGTCACGGTCTGTGATGGCCTTAGGGG